TTATGAAAAACCGTCTGTAAGCAATTTTTTTAATATTGAATATAATGTAAAATTTCCTCTTTTTACTCGTGTCTTTCTGTCAAACTCTTGATTTTAGGGCAGAATTAGGTTGTTTAAAAATTATCTTGTACCTGGTGGTCCAATAAGAATGGATTTAGGACATATCTGGGGAACCCCTTATAGTACAGCCTCAGGAAAAAGTTCAATGACTGGAGTGTGGTTACAAGAAAAATATAAATATTATTTAGAGAACCGTAGGATGACCGCCAGATGGCGTAACTGAGTACTAAATAATATAAAGCGCAATTTCGTATAAATGACGCATTTTACTATTTGGTATTTAGTTAGGCAATCTAGCTGTCGTCTTACGATTCTCTAAATAATTTCCGTGTTTTTCTTGTGATCACTTTAGTCATTAAATATTTTTCAAAAGCTGTCCTATTAACGGTTCTTCAGATATGGACGCAAGCTGTTCTTATTGGGCCACCTCGTGCAACATAATATTTGAAAAGAACCTAATTAAGTCATAAATTCAACGGTTTGTCAGAAATACACGTGTTTAAATAGAACATTTTACATAATATTCAATATTAAAGAAATTGCCTATAGACTTTACTTTCATATATTCAAAACCTCAGTTTAGTACTCTTACGAGGGGAAACACCCAACTCTTGGTGTTGCTAATTCCACTCTGAAACGGTGGTTGTCACCTCTAAGGAGCCAGGTGTCTGAGTGTTTTTGGTTATGAAAAACCATCTATAAGCAATTTCATTATTATTGAATATAATGTAAAATTTCTTATTTTTACACGTCTCTTTTTGTCAAACTGTTGAGACTTATATGGGAATTATGTTGTACCTGGTGACCCAATAAGAATTGAATCCGGTCATATCTGGGGAACCGTTAATAGTACCGCTTCGGGAAAAAGTTTAATGACTAGATGAGAGGTCACAAGAAAAACAAATGAACTATTTAGAAAACGTAGGAAGAAATAATAAAGAGCGTAATTTATACAAAATTTTTTTAGTATATTATCCCAGCTAATAGATTAAAGACACACAATTACAGTCACAACATTCAACAAATCTTTCTCTAGGCGTTCGTTTGGACAGAATTCATAAATCTATATATAGATTTAATTCATATTTTAAAGGATGTCTCTTAAAAATTAAATATACTTTCCTGTATATTATTGTAATTTTTCAGAATTTTGTTAGCTGCCTCGTGTAATTTTTTTGTTCGCAGTTTTCGCTAAGTTAGAAGGCAACAGCATACAATCAAGTGAAAAAATTTTGATAGCCGCTGATAAGGAAAATTGCTGAGAGGTACAACTTACGAGGTTTGTGAATCTTTTCCCGAACAAGATGGCCAAACAACGGTTGGTCAATTACCAGAGCTTGTAAATTGCACGCCAATGCGATTCATATCGCAAGAGTATGTTTGTAAATTATTTGAAAAGTGTTAAGACCATATGTTAAGACAATGGTATAGTGGCGGCTCGTGGTAAGTTGCATTAGCTCTGCATCTTGTGTTTGCGCTAGATAAATCAAATGCTATCACATTGCAACACTAGCCCTTTTTGAGAATGATAATAAATCAGTTGCAGCTTGTAAATGGAATATACCTTCCATAAAAAATTGTATCAGCAAAACAGCAGAAGAAGTATATCCTCAAAACCATACGAAGCCATTCAAAGAGCATCGAGTGAAGGTATTGACAAAGTCCTGCGAGAAAAGTGTAGAAATTTTAGAAAACGTTCGTCAATAATTATCTATCAAAATTGTTAGAATTGATGTATATTGTTCTGTCATGTGTTTTATATATTCTATCAAAATAAAAAATAAAGAATATATAATAAAACGTTCTTCATTGAGTTTGCTATATATCCGACAGGCCAGGCCATTGACTGCATTCATTCATGTTCTATGTGTGTGTGATTGGATTTTATGACTGCGGATATAATCCATTAGCCTATTATGTATTCATGTTCTATGAATATCCTAAAAATGTTCTGTATGTTTTTATTTTGGTATGTCCTTTCTAGAATGTTTTTAAAACATACATACTATATACTTTGAAAATATATTCTAGAAAGTACAGGGTGATTCATTAAGGGTGGCGACCGGCCGTATCTCAGATCATCTTGAAGTAATTTTTTTTTAAAAGAAACGCAAAAACAGGTCGATTTTTATTTCAAGGGGGACACCTTTCTATAATATCCTCATTTGTCATGCGTCATTCCTCTCCCCTACGTCAATCTTACAAATACAATTTAAATAGGGAAATTACCAAGTATGACACATCGCCGGAAAGATAATTTTGTGGAGAATTCAGCAATATGTCTGTTCATTGGCGTTCTTTTTAATTTTAGCGTCCTCTAGCGGGATAAAAAATTATTACCTATGGTAAAGGGTGACACTTCAATTGACAGCTAATTTTATTAGTAATCCAATGCACTACATAACATTAACCTAGATATCTCCATATTGCACTTGCAACAAAATAAATTTAGTGATAATGCATTATTTTTCCTTTCAAGTTAATTTTTACTTTCCTATCTGTATACAAATAAGGAATCATGATTTTTTCGACCTCGAGTTTTCGACGGATTGTAACGTTTTGTTTGTGTTATGTTTGTTACTGAATAACAAAATATATGAATCCGGGATTCAAATCATATAAACACTATTTCGCCTTAAACTTGGCCTCGTAGCCCTTAACTGTTCTACATTTGATGTTAGAACCTAACACGTCCCTGAAAAGGGGCTGAAGAAAACACAGTGTTCTTAAAACAAATATAATATAATTTAAAACGATTATACAAAATATGTCCTAATTCGACATACACAAATATAGGGCTCAATGTATTAACAAATAGATAATAAAAGATTAACTTACCACTCCAACAAACATCTTGGGCACATGTCACAATTCTTAGCTTACTATGCAAAACGCAATTATTCAAAATACAAAAAAAAAACTTTTAATTCAAACTATAGAGATCTTGAGCTAGAGCTTCTACTGTTTGATAATATACAATTTAAATTGTGCAAGAAATTGTATCAAAAACTTATATAGTCTAAAACAGTCTTAAAACAGTTTTTAAAGTGATATTCCTTTTATAAATTAGTAAATTATTCTTATACCAATAAATAATTATTAAATAGTGACAAAAAAAATTTAACGTAAAATGTAGAATACCTTAAAAATGATTTACCATTAGACACCTATACATATTTTTTAATATTCTATTAAGGTTTTCGCAAGATCTTAAGAAAAGAAAACTTTGCTTTTTTCTAGTAGGGGTCCTTAAAAATGAACCCCTTCGTAAAAACCCAGAGTAGTGTTGTTCAGAACACTTTTTTCCTGAAGATGTTTTGGTACTTGCAAATGGTGCTAAATATATTAGAAAAGATGCAAACCCCAGACGGTGTGAGGGCTTTCTATTTTTGGATGACTTATACAACAGGTAAAAATACAAAACATAAATTTTTTGTTTACCTCTAAACATTATTTATTACATATATGTATGTATATCTAATATATGGGTTTTTAGTTCTAATTCAACTGTTTTTGGAACACCACCTGCCGCAAAAAAACATTGCAGTAAGTAATAACACTAATTACTAAGCATAAAAAAATTAAATGAAATTTTAGTGAATAAAATTAAAATATTTAATATATTTAAAACATTTTAAAAATTTTTACATTTTTTTACGATATTTTTTGCCATATCATGTTTTTTTGTAATTATTAATTAAAAAATTATATATTTAGGATAGTGTTTTATTTAGATACCCCTACCTACTTAATGTTAATTTAAAATTTTAAATAATTTTGGTTAACATCGTACCAGGCAAATAGTAGATGAACCGATAATTGGAACAATCTCTTGGGGCTGAGACAGGCCAAGATACTTCTGGGTGAATATAACCAGAAAAGATCGGAAGCCTGCATCAGCCTGAGCAAGAACAGGCTACGTATTGTAACAGGGATCCTTACTGGGCATTGCCGACTAAAAGGACACCTAAGTAAACTGAAAGTAGTAGATATAGTGAGTGCAGATTCTGTGAGGAGGAGGACGAAACCTCCATTCATATCCTAACTGAATGTGTAGCACTCCAGAATCTAAGGGCACTATATCTAGGAGGATATCAAATAGAAGAGGGAGATTTACCTAACTTGAAGCCACTTCAAATCCTACACTTCCTTGAGAAAATAGGATTGGAAGGGTCGTTATAGGCATTGAGACATTTTCTTTATACATTGGCGACAGAAGGGGGCACAATAGATCTTTTAGGTCGCAGTGTTAACACCCTATTCACAGCATAACATAACCAGGCAAATATATAGTAAATGCTAATAAACTATAAACCAATAAATATTAAAAATCGAAAGGTAATTTGAATTTACTTGTGCATGAATTTACCTACATGAAAAAATCATCATAATTATATTACTAAAAAAATATACCTACTTATTTACGTATTTTTTTAACATACAACTCTGACAATACTGGTAAGTTTAAAACTCTACGCCACTAGCGAGCATATTATGGACACTGTTTACAACGTTGCCAGCCGGTCCTAAGAGATTTGTCTTTCTCTCTTCCACTCACTAGCAATTTTAAAACAACAGTCCGCAATTGTATGGGATTTATCAATGAAACATTTTGTCTCTATGTTGTAATGTCTTTGGGTTACATTAAAAGTACATCGCATGCGAGCTTAAAGAGCCTAAAATTGCAGCTTAGTAACGTAGATGAGATGTTTTTGTGCTAGCTGGGATATATCTGTTATTTATGATTACAGAAGAACATTATTTTAGTAGGAGTTGTTTGTGATATTGCTTCCTATAATTTCTGTACTAAACATCATTTCTTTAAAATAAACCGTACTGGAGAAATTTGAGCAGAAGTGCGAAATTTAAATTTTTCATTATTTTCTTTGGCAAAGAAAATATAAAAAATGTTTAATATTAATAATAATTTTTATCTTTAGTTCATATCCTAAACTATAGTGTACTACTAATTATGGCAATAAAAACTTTCTTCTACTACTACTACTACTACTACTTTCTATTGGTATAAAAATTGGGTATTGATTCACCTTTGAATTTATAGTAATTTAAAATGATATAGAAATTTCATCCGGTTAGCATAATCTGTTCCAAAATGTTATGTTCAGTAATTATACTAACCTTCCTAACCTACAAAAGAACACAGTAATGAACATGTAGGTATTTACTGTGTTGTTTGTAGACTTTAGCATTAACTGTGTTTTTTTATGGGGATGTTAAAAGATCTTTTATAATTATTATCCAAAATGTTTAATAAATATAATTGATTCAGTGCTTTGTTATGTAAGTAGATATAATTTTATTTTATATACGAAGACTTTAGCATTTACTGTGTTTTAATGGGAAGGTTGAAAGGACTTTTACAAATATTATCATAAATATTTAATATAAACTAATTTGTTACTTTTGTTAATTTGTGTTAGTAAAAAATAAGTTTATTAATAAAAATAATGTACAAGGTGTTTCTATATTCAATACTGAAGGCGCTCTAAATTACGTCTTTCAATATTGACACAAGATTTAGGAACACCCTAAAAAACAAATTACCGGATGTCTAAATAAAAAAAGAAACCGGCCATATTTAAAGAGCCGTTTATCTTACAGATCTGGTAATTTTTTTTAATAAAAGCGATCCTTTGAAATCGCTGAAAATTATTAAATTCCTAACTTCACCGTTAAGAAGCGACCAATGCTCATGACCAATTATTGTTACAAAAATGTCAAAAATATAAAAATATTACTCAATTTTGACTACTCACTTGGGTACATTTTTTTGTTGGTCATATACATTAGAATATCTAGCTGAAAATTTGAAACTAATTTTATATTTAAAATATTTTTGTGTTTCTAGTTTCTGAGATACTGGCTGTATCTTACAGCCGCCGATAGCTGGTATTCTTTCTTATTTAGGTACCTGGTACATATTTATGTGCCAAAATTATAATATATGACAATTTTGTGTTTGAATTTTTTATCAATCTTTTAGTTTATACAAACTTCTTATTTAACTGCTCTTTGGTTTTATACATTTTCTGACCCATTTTTCACACTCTAGAGCAATGGTTATCAGAAGTAGTAAATAAGCTTTTTTTTTTCTCTATATATAGGTAACATAGGTAACAATACAATATAAACATGATTCATTATTGAAGGTACTCGTACCATAAACAATTACAATTTTGTTTCAGATATAAATGGATTAAAATGTTCGTTTAACCCGCTCATTTTCAAGCTGGCGTCCCATAATTTCTTTGCTACTTTCTTTTTTCGTGTAATATGTGATACATAACTTGGTTTGCAGTTGCCATAATACAATCCAGTTTCGTTTGCGCACATCTCGTGTACTGCGCAAAAAATCGTGGTCCGCGCTCCCTCTTCTGGAGTCTTAATGAACTTTTTAAAGTAAGATTTCATTGGAAAATTTACGTGCCTCTTGAGATTTGTGTTTATTACTCCAGGATGTAGGCTATAGACGTTTATTCCTTCTACGTGATTTTCTAAAACAATTAAAACAAAAAATGGATGTAGTAGGTGCAATTTAAATTATTGATGTTTCTATATCTATGGATGCGAGTTATCTCAGCAGTTATATAGCTGGGGTGTTTTCTTTCAGAACTTTAAAGAGGTTAATACTGTCATATATTCCCTTACTGCAGTAATAACAAAAGGAAACAAAATAGATCTTTAGATCGCAGTAAGTCATACAGACCAACTCCTTTTCTACCTGTAATATCGAAACAGTAAGAAAAATTACTCCTTAAAAGATTGATATCAATAATAGAGGTAAGAAACTGATTCCTTCTTATTAATTTGGCTTCTGAGAGTGCCTTTCTATAATATACTACGTGTACAGAAACACAGAAACTTTTAAAAAATACTTGGAAAAAAACAAAGTTTGCTCTGCAATCTTCCTGGATCTTGATAAAATATGGCATGAAGGATTGTGTCAAAAGCTAAAAAACTATTTCCAAATATAATAATAAATTCATATTTACCAGAAATATATTTTAAATTTAAATGGAAAGACGCATATTTACACGAATATTAAAATTTTAGGAAAAGGAAATAAATATAAGAATAGGTTATTTCTGGAAATGTACTACAATAATAAAACAAAAAACACCATAATTTATAAATCTGACATTAATTAACTAAGTAGCATTTATTGTAATGTTCTAAGTCAAATTTAAGTAGCACTCTATACAATATTAAAAATCATTTAGTTTTATCTTCCTATAATTATGTCATATTTTTAATTTTATCAACTTGTTTAATATTTAAAGTACCCACTTTCCAAAAAGTTTATTTAACGTGAAATGGTGTTTTTATTTAAAATTTTAATCGATTGACTCAAATCCTGTAAGTAGTAATTTAAAATTATTTTATTGTATTGTTTTATTTTATGAATCTTGTAGTTCGCTCCTGATGAAGTTCTTAAACAATGGCGAAATATTGAGCATTATCTTCACTTAAAAAATATATATAGTGTTGCCAATACTAGGGTTCGGTAAGATCGGTCCAACATCAAAAATGGATTCGTGTATTTAAATTATACACACAAATCGAAGACTGCGCCGCCTGGAGTCAGATGGGTTGAACTAAAATCGTATAAAAAACGGTGTAAGGCCGATTTTTAAGACCCAACTAAAATTTCGTCAGGAAGTTCCTACTACATAGGTCTATCTCAAATGCATTGAGAGCCTTCTCAAACCCGCAAGTGGGTCTGATAAGAAAATTTTGGAAGAACGTAGGTTTTGGGCTTGCATAAACGGTGATACCCTTGGACACATTACAATATACAGCATTACGCAGACGACCCTGCGATACGAGCTACAGCTACAGGACAGGACCACGAAGTAGATGTAAGAAATATCCAAATATTCAAAATCCATGCCTGGACTAAAAGAAGATGGCGCATCAAATTGAATGCTAACAAGTCCATTCAATAAAAATAAATTCCGTTCCTTTGGTTAGTTTTATTAAGTTCCCTACTAAGTTTTCCTGGAGCGTTCTTTCCTTTCCGGCTCTAGGCCGACTAATAAAAAGAAATTCTGCTGGAAAAGAACGATAATCATTTCTAAATTCGTGACATTCTATTGCAAATCCTAAAATACTATGACACCTTACGCTTAGCCATGTTGTTGCCATAATAGGAATATCTGGAAAGATGAAGTAAAGCACGGCTATCAAAGATTTATTTATCAATAAAACAATAAAGTAATTAACAATAAACTTTTGTTTATATTACAGGTATTTTTTTAAAAACATATTGGCTAAATGAAAAAAATCACCAACCTTTAAGTCTTTCAGCTAGTTCTTTGGTAAATAATACATTACACAACTTGCTTTGAATGTAGGCTCCAATCGGACTGTAACTACGTTTTTCAAAGTTTAAGTCATCTATGTTTAAATAAAAAGTCACTGAAACATAAATGTTGATTAAAGTTTAGCTTTTTTTTGTCAATATTTGTATTGGAGGTGTAATACCTCTCGAATCAAAACAAGGGGTTATGATGAAGAGTGAAGACAAAGAATAAACAGAAAGTACTTATTTGTCAAACAATGTAATGAAACTATTTTTCAACACCTTTTTAATATATTTCACTCTGCAACCACAAAATATTTGACCCGAAAAATATTAAGGTTGGCCAGACCATGCCTCTTTTACCAAAATAGTGGTTTTTCGTTCGGAGAGCGCCGGCGATACTAAAAGAGGCAACTTCCATTAAGAGTTTAGCCAGTTTATTCATTGACCATTTGAGTACGTTGTGTACACTAAACCTTCTAAACTTTTTATTATTTGTCTTTATTGCATCCCTACTGTAGCACCTAACATATTTAGATATATAGTTGAGATGGCAAGAACACCAATTTTTTTTAGAACAGTAGTGATAGGCTTAACTTTACCAGCAGTGTCCCATAAGATTAATGTTAACTTTCCATCAAAGTGCTTGCATAAGGCACTTATAAAAATGATGCGGGGCTTTTAAACAGAATGTACTACGTATGACACATAAAAAACGTACTTTTGGGGACTGCAACATTATTCGTATTATTTCCACAATCTTTAATTTTAGCCATCTCTTGAAGGAAAAAAGTGTTACGTAATCAAAGTGTGACAACTCATATGAAAGTAAATTCTATCAGTACCTAATTATTTGCTTCACATGACAATAACCTAAATGTTTTCGTATTACATTGTAACAAAAACAAGTTACTATTTAACGCTAGATTATCTACTTACTAAGTAATTTTTTTATTTAAGTTAATTTTATGCGGTATATTTGAATTGATAATAAAATTTTCTCTCATATAAGACACTTTGTATTAGGTATATAACATTTTTTCCTCTCAAGATGGGGTTAAAATCGAGATTTTCGGTATTCGTACTAATATATCTTTTCTTAAAAAATTTACCTTTTCAGTGGTGTGTCACATAAAGTAAGTACATTCTCATCTAACTGTTTATTCAAATATCATTTTTCACGAGATTATATAGCCATTGTATGTTTTTAAATTGTCACTCTGTATAATAATCAGTGTCGGCCACTGAACGTTTTCCAATACGTCTTATGCAAGATACATAGAGCATTAGTTCAAGCAGGAAACAAATAATATCAGCTTTGCCGGTCAGACTGCGTTGTAACGTTAGCTGAGTCGTATAATCAGAGCTGTCACCTATCAGTGAGATTTAAATCATTTTTTGATTTAAATACATTTTTTGATTTAAATACTTTGATTTTAAATCTTTTTTTAAAAAATGATTTTTGATTTATGATTTAAATCTTTTTGAAAAGTATCTTTGATTTTTTATTTAAAAATTAGATTTAAATCTTTTTAAAACGATTTAAATCTTTTTAAAACGATTTAAATCTTTTTAAAACGATTTAAATCTTTTTAAAACGATTTAAATCTTTTTAAAACGATTTAAATCTTTTTAAAACGATTTAAATTTTTTTTAAACGATTTAAATCTTTTTAAAACGATTTAAATCTTTTTAAAATGATTTAAATCTTTTTAAAATGATTTAAATCTTTTTATTGATTTAAATCTTTCTGAAATGTTTTAAATCTGTAAAATGATGAGATCTTTTTAAAATGATTTAAATTTTCTTAAAGATTTAAATCTTTTTAAGATTTAAATCTTTTTAAAACGATTTACATCACCTGATTCGTCAAAATCGTTATCAACCTGTCTATTCCTGAATAATAATCTAGCCAGCATGTCAGTAGGGTTGAATCAGAAATCCGAGAGAAAAAAAAAAAAAAAAGAAAAAATTGTGAAGTTTAACAAATAATTGCAATGACTAAAGATTGTTCTTAAGTATGAAATTTTACAATATTTTTGACCCGATATTTTTTTTTGTTGTTTTATTTTTTACACCGCAAGCAGCTGGAAATACTTTTTCATTATCGATATAATCCTAAAACTCTTTACAATATGTATTTTAAATGTATGCATTAAGACGATTATGACTTTTTGACCAGTTCAATAAACACGCTTGGCATAGATAGAGCGAATTAATTAAATTTTTTTATTTCTTTGCCTGATTCATCCACACATTTTTCAAAACAATTAACCCAAACGCGCTCACTTTGGTTATGTATTTCCTCGCAATAACTTCACGTTGAGAGAAGAACTCTTTTAATTCAACCCACTCAATTTTATTATTCATAGCCGGGAGATTTTGAAAATGAAATGCATTTTTCCGGGAGAGTCTCCTAAGTACAAAAAAAAATATTTTTAAAGAGTGATGTATGTGCATCTATGTGTGGTGTTTATATATGTATGACATTAAGCACGTTAACTCAAGGAAGAGTTGACGGATTTAAGTGATTTTTCAGAAAAAAAATCACTTTTCTTAAAAACTAGGTCTCCATTGTTTTGTGGCATCATAGGCATACCAAAATTATCTTTTAAAGGGTTGAAAAATTCCTATTTACCAATCGACATGACATTTTTAAATAACAATTTTCATAACTATAGATATCAATGCTGCATAAATCCTTAAAAATTTTATCCTGATCGGCTATTTATTATTTAAAATTAATATTTCCGTAAGAATTGCATTGGACAAATAACGATAAAAAATAAATACGAGAAAAGTTGATCGAGTTTTGCGTTTTATTTATGAAAAAATCACATAACTTAAGTATTCATTATCTTTGGCCTACCGAAAGCATTTGTTAAAGAGTTACCCAAATCTATAAAAATATTTAAATCTTTTGAAAATATTTATTTCGTTTAAAAAGATTTAGATATTTCGAAAAGATTTAAATCTTTCGAAAAGATTTAAATCTTTCCTAAAATGATTTAAATCTTTCGAAAAGATTTAAATCTTTCGAAATGATTTAAATCTTTCCTAAAATGATTTAAATCTTTCGAAATGATTTAAATCTTTCGAAAAGATTTAAATCTTTCAAAAAGATTTAAATCTTTCCTAAAATGATTTAAATCTAAAAAAGATTTTTGATTTAAATCTTTCTTTTTAAAAAATCGATCTTTGATTTAAATCATTTGTTCAAATGCAAACGATTTATGATCTTTGATTTAAATCGTTTTTAAAATGATCTTAAACAGCTCTGCGTATAATACAAACGTATCGCTGATATTATTTGTCTTTTGTTCGCTCTGATGCTAACTTTCTGTAGTTTTCACACACACACGCACACGCACACGCACACGCACACGCACACGCACAACAACACGCACACGCACACGCACACGCACACGCACACGCACACGCACACGCACACGCACACGCACACGCACACGCACACGCACACGCACACGCACACGCACACGCACACGCACACGCACACGCACACGCACACGCACACGCACACGCACACGCACACGCACACGCACGCACGCACGCACACACACACACACGCACGCACACGCCCACATACACACACGCACGCATGCACGCACACGCCCACACACACACACACACACACACACACACACACACACACACACACTTGTGCAAGGCGTATTGAAAGAATATCGAACTTATTTCATACTGATTATATCAATATAATTAAAAAGAATTTAGACATTGGAGCTAGCCTCAGAAACAATTAAAAATATTGCGAATTTGTGCTCGATAAAATCATTACTTTAAACATAATACAATATGTTATTTTTCTCTTCTTCTTTTTATTTGTTTATATTTTTTTCACCCTTCGGACCTCCTGTGATATCACCCCAATCCGTCTGTAGCCTGCGTCTTATTGTGTACAATACAAGAAATGGCTTTGAGTTACGCGCGGCCAGCATCATATCGCTAGTGTCGTTTTGACTTCTGACACGTCTGACATCGGTTAAAGATAAATTCAAAACAATCTGATCGAATCGTTACTCTCACCCACTCCTTCTCTTCATTTCAGTAATTATAACAGAAGGAGAAAACGATTAACTATTTCGAATTCTCTTTCATTCGTGTGCATAAATTTTTGACAAGTGAAGTGTCAGTATTGACAATTGATATTTTTTTGATATTTTTTCTGTTACGAAATTCATACAATTTATTAATATTAATTTTGTTACAGCCATATTTATTGTGATTTGTGTTGTTGTGTTAAGTGCTTACTTATTTAATATGGAAAGAAAAAACAGAAGGGATCCCTATGGGTCCCCGCCTTAGATAATACTTTTCCAGTGGGAAATGCCTTGAAATTTCAAGTATAACAATTTTCTGTTTGTTTTCCCGTCTTTTAATGTAGGTAGGTGCCAATTTTCACGTAAGTTTGTAATAATTTTTTATATTTTTACTTAATAACCTCTAATATTCTAATTTTACGGAGATCTTATGCTTTCCTATAGACACGATTCAAGGAGGGAGTCCTATTACTGTCATCTAAGCCCTAAATAACAGTTTTCTAATTGGAACTGCCTTTAAAATTCAAGTATAATATTGTTTTGTTTGTTTTTATAATTTTTTGATGTAGCTATCCATTTAAACTACAAATTTTTATTTCACTTGTATCGACTATTGAATAATTTCGAATACTCTTTGAAGCGAAAACTAGAGAGTTAGTATAGTGCAAGCTGGAAACAAATATGAATGTTGCCTTGTACGCGGTGTAATATGAACAGGCACACGGCGAAATACATCCGCACGCAGCCAACTAACTACGTTGATATGTGTTTCCTGCTCACATTAATGCGAACTCTTTGTAGTTTTTACCTGGACATTAGCAAAACGTATTGTAGAACGTCCGATAGCTGATACTGTATATCACAAACATCTCTTAATAGCTAACGAATTATTTAATTTAATATACGGTTTCTTTTCTTTTTTTTTTTTTTCAGTAAAATGGATATGGCTAGAGTTATCCTTGACTATGAAATAAATGTTTTATAGCGGTACCGAGTGCGGTTGGTACTTGGATGAGTGACCATTTTAAGGAAACGCCGCATACCAATGAAGCCCAAATAAGTGCCGATGTAGTTTAATATCACAGCTGGCAGGCAATGAGTACGAGATGTCCCCTCTTTTAAAGAAGATAATAAAGGGATCCCTCTTAAAAAAAGATTCAACACATAAACAAGCCTGAATTCAACGAAGCTACAACTTTTAGCTTTAAAGAGATAAAATTCAAATGCTTAATATGTTCAGTGGACTTTTTTTTTATCGATATTCTAGTGTCGATAATGTAATACTTAGGCTATTTGACAAACTTATGTAAAATCATTGTCAATTAAATTTTGTTGATAGTTTTTGGTACTTTTTTAATATCATCCATTCCTTAACTCAGTGTAAATGTATTGGTTGTACCTATAGGGGGACTAAAATCATTTGCCTTTAACTTGTGTTTAGTTCTACAGTCGTAAAACGAAAAATAAAGAATACTGAATCAATAAATATTAATTAATTTGTTTTTCTAACAGTTTCTAAAACTTACATAAGTGTGACCTCGAAGAAACGTTGACTATTCTCACAGGAGTGCTTTGTAAGAACATTGGCATCAGCAATAATGTAAACAAAAAATGCCCCAAATGGTTGGTCCCAAACTGCATCTCATATCCATCTTCAGTCTTTGTTAACTCAGGTATCATCATTACTCCGGCGTTGTTTATTAAGAGGTTTATTTGTTTTTCTTTTTGTAGTAAATTTTTTGCACAAGTTCTGACTGACTTCAGACTTGATAAATCCAGTTTTACTAGTTCCATTTGGCCTAAGTTTTGCTTTCCCTCGCATTGCCTCTTTATATCATCTACTGCTTCGAGGCCCTTTTCTAGGTTCCTGCAAGCCAAAATTACGCGTGCACCTAAAACAACACAATAATTATTTTGAGTACTTTTAGTTTTATCTATGGAACAAATGATGAAAACGATATTATAGTATGCCTAATCTAAAGAAGTTAACTTAATTAATCGCTTTGTGCCCCACCAAATTGTTTCTAAAAACCAAAATCCTATAAAAGAATAAAACTATACCTAAGATATTAAGTGATTAAGTTCGAGTTAATTTTTGCGTTTATTGCTTGTTAAAGAGTTGTTTTATGTCAAAATTTAATAAGCAGATAGTATGGTAGGTAAATTTACCAAAATATTTGTTCGAGGTGTTGGAAAGTAAAATTTAATATTATAAAGGGTGTCTCAGAATAGTAGTTTATGTTACAAGGACGAAAGGTTGAGTTTTATGGACGACTACGAGAAGGAGTCCGAAAAAAAAACACTTTTCATCCGTGTTTTATGCATTATTTTTTAATTATATTATTTTTACAATAATTTTTCCTTAATAGTCCAATTAAATAACGAAAAAAAGCCCCTTCGAGCTTACATTAATTTGTAATTGGATGAAACAAAGAGGACCTTGTGTATTTTGATGTGATCTTTCCGAAAAAAAGAAAAAAAAGATGTAGCAGTTTTTCAATTTTTTTTAAATTAGGAAAAACCGGGTTTTCCGGAATTTTCCATTGTAAAAATGCTAATTATCTGGACAAGTATCATTCCGATAGTGAAAATAAATGCACCATTCGAAAGAGGAGGCAAAAATAGTTCGGAAATTCATTGCACAGGTAGTTTTAATGGCGAATTTCTCGCCGCCAGAAGTGCTTTTACCAAAAAGTCGTTTTTTCGTTTTTTTGATCAGAACCATGGACATGAAATTTGCGATGAACTTGTGGCGAAATTATAAATGTTAGACATATGTGCCCATGAGAGAAGTTGCGTATTTTTTTGTTGGCTCTCAAATAAAAAAGTCCCGCGGCGAAATCTGACATAATTTTTCGGGAATTCGCAGGAAACCAGAGGCGTAGTTTTTTTTTAAATTTTTTTCCCATATGATTTTTTCCGGGTTTTCCGAAAACATCTAACAAAAAAAATATATTTGAAAAAACTAACTTCGCCATCGAAAAGAACACAAAAAAATACACAAAAAGATATACTTTAAAAATGTTAGGAAATTAATCCTAAGCCTGAGTGTAAGTTCCAACTTGGTGATAAGCTTGCTTTTTGTTCGCTAATATCTGGTAATTCTATATTTTGCACAAAACTCAAGAAACGTCTTATAACAAGTCAGTAAAATAAAATTTAATAAATTTTAAGCCTAATAAATTTAGATATGTAAGAAATTTAAAACTGGAAATCGCAAAAAAATCAAATTACAGTAATGTAGTGTATACACGAGTTTTGGATCCCGCAAAGCGCGTGTAATGAGACTTTTGTCGGGAGAATTCTACAACTTAGAAGAAACATACACACTTTAAACTTTGTATACACATTTAGAAGACATGAAATTTGGGTTTGTTTAATTTTCAGACAAAAAAAACTAAAAATTGTCAATTTTAGGCAACTTTTCTCAAAAACCGTGTTTTTTGGTCGTCACTCAATGAAGTGGTCAAAAAAATAGATAAAATATATTTGCAGAATTTTCCGTAATGTAATCTTATTCTAGACACAATAGAGTACTCAAAAAAAAAGGTTTGAGCCATTGGGTGCATTTTTGGCATTTTTGTGCCACTTCAAACTTTCGAAAAAAAAATTATTTAATTGTTTGATTTAATTATGGTCCGATGTCGGTGAAATTCATACACACATAAGATTTCACATTTAAGAGTAAGCTTTGTAAGTGGCATTAAAAAAATTCAAATAGTTTGGCCGTTATAGGCAAACAATGAAATTAGGACCGCGGTGCATTTTGCCCTTCCGCCATATGCCCAATTTTGGGATTTCTCTTGTCCCCTTCTGGGAATCACTAGTTACATCCCCTTAAGTTCAAAACGCATTTTAGTTTTTTTAAATATCTTACTTTTAACCAATGTTATAAAGAATTTAGTGTTTGAACATTTAACAAATTCAATTTTTCGACCTTCGTCGCCTCAAAATACTAAACAAATTTCAATCGTCCATACCGCGAGAACGGTGCATCTGATAAAAATTTCTCAAGTGACATAAAAATTAGCATTTTTCGTAAGCTTTCAAATGTCGTAAACTGCGTTTTAAAAATATTGATTTATTTCCGACATGCGCCTGCGCAAAATTGAAAAATTGACACAATCCAAAATTTCGGCACTTTCGAAAAACTGCTACATTTTGTTTTGTCTTTTTTCGAAAAGATCACCTCAAAATACATAGAATCCATTTTGTTTCATCTAATTACAATTTAATGCGTAAGCTCGAAACCCGTAATTTAATTCGATTATTATAACTGACAATGAGTTGGCTATGAGAACAATTGAACAATTTCTTTCGTGTGACTGTGCTCATGTCAAATTAATTTAATTAGCTAGTTTATTAAAAATTGGTGTCAAAAAAATTACAAAAATGAGTAGTGACGAAGAATTCAATACGGGCACGTCCCCAGAAATTAGAAACGCGGCAAATTTGTCTTTGAATTTGATTCCAAAAAAATCAAAAATGAAATATGAAAGAACCTACCTCATATTTGACAATTCTAATCGGTATACAACACTTTATCACCTCAGATGAATAAGTAAACTATCTTGATAAGTAAATATTTAATCTTTTAGCACAGGCTTTGTTTTGTTGGAACACTAACAAACCGAAGGATAGGCGAGGTGAGAGGGAGGATGTTTAGATCACATAGGCGTATCATAAATTTATTTTAATATGATAGGAATTTTATTGAGATTTTTATGGATTGATTCTGAGACAATATATAAGATATGTAAGCCAAAATCTGTAAAAAATTACATTACATTACTATATCTTACAGATTTTGTAGTGTATAGGATATTTCCTAGATTCCTACCATTATTAATATTAAAATATTTTTTAATTTGGGTATTTTCATTATTATAAAATGTATAGGCTTATATTTGTTGGTTTAAAATAAACAAAAATGCCCTTTCTTAAGTCTTTATTTAAATATAATACAAATGTATCTACAATATACAGTATACACGATGGATACTTTAAATGGATCGAAGATATAATACTACTATTTTATGTACTACTAATCAATATAACGTGACGTAAGGTATTATGTTGCGAGGATTTTTTATTATTGGCCGACAATTGTGAAATTGTCTCTATATGTTTGTGACTATCGCAAATCTCTCTAAATTTATGAATTTTACCACAAAAATATCGCTGATGATTTAAAGTGTTTTAGTAGAAACAATGGCCAGGGTCGCCTAAAGCCATGGTGGGGCCCCGGGGGAAAACACTGGCAAGGGCCCGCCAACCACACATAATCATATTTTTAAAGCTGCCGGGCCCCCCTTGATCCCGAGCCCTGGGGATTTTGCCCCCCTTCCCTCCCCTGCCACCCCTCTCAACGGGCCTGACAGCGACAATAACTCCGCCTTAATCTGACCTAAATAAGTTTGTTACCTGGTCTAAAAATAATGTTCTTTCTATAAATGTTTGTAAGTGCAGAACCATGTATTTTATAATAAATGATTCCATAATCCTTAACAGCATCTATCTAGGTAGATAGTTCCTTGATAGTTATTGATCTAGGCCTTATCTTTGAACAACCACATGCAAAGCCCTCAGAATGCTTGGCTTCTAAAAGAGACATACTAGAGGTACTTGAATAATACAAAAGCAATCATAACACTTTACAATGGCCTGGTGAAAAGTGTCCTGGAATACTGTTATTTGGCAACCTACTTACACCTGTAATATCAATAGAATTAAAAGGGCGTAACATAAATTCGTGAAATACATGTTCTTTAAACACCGAATTAATAGCCATAACACATGTTAATAAACCAGATTATTGTTTTGTGGCATGCAGAGCCTGGAACACAGAAGAAAGCTACTCCTGGCTAAAATAATAGGTGGTTCTATCATTACTTAAAAGAGTTCAAAGTATTGGTTCCTGTCCGACGGACTCAACACGTCAATTTTGAATGTAGAGAGACAATTACGGACAAAGTGCTTCGTTTAATTTTAATATTTTAGCGCTAAAAAGAGACTTGCAACTCCTGAACGCCTAAGTTTTACTGGTGGTGTTGTAGTGTTTTTCTTTTTTTTTATTATTTTATATTTTTTTGGCACACTAAGATATTTGTGTTAGGTTAGACATATTTTATAATTTAGAAATTATTTTAGGTAAGTGCTACGTAAATAAATAATTAAGTAGGTACCTTTTCTGATGGGCCAGGTTGAGGATCTAATAAATAATCATTATCATTCTCCTTTCGATTACTAAAAGTAGGTTTAGCTCCCTTTTTCAAAAATACTCTACCCTTGGGAGAAAAAGTAAATTCAATTTTTCTAAAATGTATATAGCAAATTCTACTATTAACCCCTATCTCTGTTGATATTCCTAGGGCCTGTACCCAAAGGTTTTTTAATTCAGGATTTCCAGAAAATCTGAACAAAATCATAAATTAAGATTAAAAAAGGATACATACACAGTATAAACCATATTAATATATGATAAGAACGGCAGAAACGGACCAATTTTTTAAAACATTTAATAATATTTAAGCACTTTTTACCTACCTGTGAAAAGTTACATGACTGCCTTTAAAATACTTTCTATCACAAACAACAATTTAACAACCATTTTTCTGAATATTTTACAACAGCTTACACAAAAAAATATAAATATCTACTACTAAGTTTCCACAACACAACAAAATCCAAACAAAACTTACGCACCCTGAACCCTAAAGAGACGACACTGTTTGGCCACGTTTTGTATATGGTTTTCTATCTTTCTCTAATGGACCTGGAGTACAACTGGTCAGCAAGAATTATTCCGGCCCTTAAATTTAAACTCGCCAATGGGATGACGGGATCCAATTGTTTATTCGGGCACCTAATTTAAAATTCGCCAATGCGATGA